AACACAGTGGTATCACTATGCATCTTATATATGATTAGGTATCACAATGTATCTTTTGTTTAACAGAGTCAATATTTTTAGGTATCACAGTTGTATCATAGTGGTATCATCGGAGGACGGTGGTCGGAGGCCGGAGAACATTGGCCGGAGAGAGGAGAGTTTTAAAATACCAAAAATATCCTTGCATTAAGATTTTAATTTAAAATTACCAAATTTATATATTTTTAATTTATCTATTGATTTGTGGTTAATATTCACAAACAACTCAATTCTTCCTTGAATAGATCCTTATATATATATATATATATATATATATATATGTGATATCCAATTTTCTAATCTATAAAAAATATAAAATATCAATCATTTCGTTGTGTATCCAGCAAGGGTTTGAATTAGACAACATAACCACCATCTCTTCTTGTAAAACTCGTTACCAGATCCCCATGAATTAATTTGCTCTAGATATTACAAGAATGAGAGGTTTTTTACCGAACATAAGTACTTATTAAGTAACATTATCTGACCGGATGAATATGGTAAAGACTAAAAATCTTACCCGGTAAGAGCGATACAAGGACCAAGAGTCTTACCCGGTAAGTGGGGGCGATGACTCTTACCACGGTAAGCACTTACGGGGTAAATTGTTGCATATGATGTCGTTTTGGTGGACTAAAATCTTACCCTGTAAGTGAATGATAGTGTTAAGTTTTACTGGTAAGCACTTACTTACACGATAAATGTTTCGTAAACGGCCCCCGAGTATGATTCAAAGGCATGATGGAAGACAATGGCTTTCTTAATTTAGTATATCAATATTTTGGTAACCATAGGTGCCCGATATGACTTGCATGTGTTACTCTACTAACCTCACAAGACCCCGAAATTAACATTTAAACTCACCCTCTAATGGCTCTAAAGAAACTTGAACGCCAACGACCTCTGGAGAGTAACAACGTTTTACCAGTTGAGCTGCCATTTAAAGTCATGTTCATCAGTATTACAACGACCATAATTTAACATATCGACTCGTTTAATCCAACAAAGAACATAATATTAACTTTAATCGATACGGTATGATTACGTGTTACCTTTTAACATCCCATCACGTATTTTGGCCATAAAAAGGTCCCTCTTTTATAATTCAATTTTAGAAAAAGAAAATCTTGAAAAACAAGTGTAGTATCACTTTCAAACATGCCTTTGTTTCACGTTGCTGAGTTTACTTAGATTCAAATCGTCTCATCAATCCAGCTTCAGAGCTTCCATGGACACTCGATTGTGCTTCTCTCACAAGCAAAACTCAAACACCCTCCACATTTAAAGCAAACTCCCCATCAACTTTCCCTATATATATATCCCTTCTATACACCCTTCTAAACATCAGGGTTTATATCTGTCTATGTAAATTTGTCTGTTTAACTGTTCGTTCGACCAGTTATAGCAAACGACTCTTGGAGCATAGAACTGTGCACGTTTTCTACTAGAGTTTTTTTCCCCTTTTGAGAATGGAGAGGTTTATATCATTTAGCGGGTATGAGCAAATGGGAACGATGTGGGAGCAGGTGAAGGCGCCATTGATTGTGCCGTTTATGAAGGTGATGGTGACGATGTGTTTAGCCATGTCGGTGATGTTGTTCGTCGAGCGTGTTTATATGGGGATTGTTATCGTTGTGGTTAAGTTGACGAGACACAAGCCCGAGAAAAGGTACAAATGGGAGGCGATTAAGGAGGATTTGGAGTCGGGTAATTCGGCTTATCCTATGGTTTTAGTACAAATACCAATGTATAACGAAAAAGAGGTACATAATTCGTATTTTTAGTATCCTAGCCTTAATTTTATTTGCCATATATATTTCGAGTTTTTGATTTAAATTCGTATGTAGGTTTATCAACTCTCGATTGGAGCCGCATGTGGGCTCTCATGGCCATCAGATCGGATCATAATTCAAGTTCTTGATGACTCGACTGATCCGATAATCAAGGTTTAATTTTAATCATTTGTTTATAAAATACGTTAATTAGAGAACATGTGACATGCAATGTCACAAGTTACAAAATATATGTCAATATACGAGTAATGAAAGTTACACAGACGAGTACGGTTTTCTGAATTATATATATATATAAATAAATATCAGGCTCTAGTGGAGTTAGAATGCAAGAGATGGGCAGGAAAAGGAATCAACATAAAGTACGAGATCAGGGACAACAGAAATGGATATAAAGCTGGTGCTTTGAAACAAGGCATGAAGCATCCGTACGTGAACCATTGTGATTTTGTGGCCATTTTCGATGCTGATTTCCAGCCTGATCCTGACTTCCTTTGGCGCAGCGTCCCTTTCCTCGCACACAACCCCGAACTCGCTCTCGTTCAAGCTCGATGGAAATTCGGTATTTATATATATTTTGTTTCTTTTCCCCAAAAAAACTCTCATCGCATGTTTATTAGATGCCCAGAGGTAACCATTGTTCACTAGAAAGTATGAACCGGGTATATTGCAAAGCTGCATATTTTTCAGCTTTGCAATATAGCCAAGGGAACAGAATCTCCCACCATCTTTCTTTTTTGTCCCGATCATAATCTAGTGTGCTTATTTCGCGATGGAATATTTGTTGGTAATCGTTTTGACTTATCGACGAGTTTCTAACGCTATAGTTTGTAATGGTGTGTGTTCAGTGAACTCAGATGAGTGTTTGATGACAAGAATGCAAGAAATGTCACTGGATTACCATTTTACTGTGGAACAAGAAGCAGGATCTGCAACCCATGCGTTTTTCGGGTTCAACGGTAAGGATTTTCAACTCAAATAATCGGTTAAGAACGTAGTTCGAGATTCATGTTATCGAATGTAGGAACCGCTGGTGTTTGGCGAATTTCGGCTCTGAACGAGGCTGGCGGATGGAAGGACCGAACCACCGTAGAAGACATGGATTTAGCGGTCCGTGTGAGTCTCAAAGGATGGAAGTTTGTATACATCGGTGACCTCAAGGTATGTACGCTGGCTAAGGCTAACACGCCACATCCGTTGGCTTTGATAACTTGATCAATAAGCTAAGCTTATAGCTTAGCAAATGGTAAGGTTTCAATGGCGGATCTAACATTTGGGTTTGTAACTTGAAGGTGAGAAACGAACTACCAAGCACTTTCAGAGCGTACCGTTATCAACAGCATCGATGGTCTTGTGGACCCGCTAATCTTTTCAAGAAAATGATAACGGAAATCGCAAGAAACAAGGTTTTATACTCGACGATCGAACCTACTCTTCAAGGCCTGTAATTAATACGATAAAATGCTTATTAAACTCGTTGATCATGATGCAGAAAGTGACGTTGTGGAAGAAGGTTTACGTGATATACAGTTTCTTCTTTGTTAGAAAAATCGTTGCACATCTTGTCACGTTTATCTTCTACTGTGTGGTGTTGCCGGCGACGGTTTTGGTGCCGGAAGTGCACGTTCCGATATGGGGTGCCGTTTACATTCCATCCATCGTATCTCTACTGAATTCAGTCGGGACTCCGAGGTCGTTTCACCTACTGGTTTTTTGGATCCTTTTCGAGAATGTCATGTCTCTACATCGGACGAAAGGAACGTTCATCGGCCTGTTTGAGGCCGGAACGACGGTTAACGAGTGGGTCGTCACCAAGAAACTTGGAGAAGCTTTGAAACTCAAAACAGGTTCCAAGGGTACTAAGAAACCTCGAATCCAAATAGGAGAAAGGTATATTTATTCATAAGTCATGGCCTCTGTCTTTATGGCTCGACCCTGTTGGTTAGATGTATGTCTTAACCATTAAGGCCCAACCTACTTTATGTCTGTATGGTGATTTAACAGGCTTAATGATTTTTATTGTTGGTTTCATGACCTTGACAGTGTATATATGCTGGAGGTTTTTGTTGGACTCTACCTCTTCTTATGCGGGTGCTATGACTTTTCGTTTGGGAAGAACCATTACTACATATACCTTTTCCTGCAATCGATGGCTTTCTTCGTCGCCGGGTTTGGCTACATCGGCGTTTTCGTCCCCAATTCTTGAGAACGACGTTGTAAAATATGCGTTTTTCGGTTTATAAGGATACAAATATGTTAAAGTTGTTATGGGTTCATTTTGCTTTTTCAATTTTGTTACAAGAAATCAAGTCATTCTTTTATTGGATGTGTGCATAAGGCAAAAATATGTGATGTTAGTGTCCTTGTTTTTGGTAGGTGTGGTTAAGCAAGCCAAAAGTGTTTTAGTTCATGTGTTTTAATGCCCATTTTTTTTAAGGTTATGTAAAAGATTAATTGTAAATCATTTAAAAAAATATTGATTGTATTTGTTAAAAATATTGTGACTCAATGTTTATCTATTTTACAAGCATTATAAGAAATAATACCACCACGATGACACTAATCAGCTACCAATATCACCGTTATAACCCAGATCAACTACCATAAATAAGATCGCAGATGAATGGCCAAGCTGGCAATCAAACTGATAGTTTCATCTTAGATTGAAAAGAATCAAATTATAGCCATCTTGATGCTATATCAATCAAGGGTGACACTAATTTTTCTCTAAGGAAGTGTTATGTTTAGTTCAGATGTATGTGATAATAGATTCGAACCTAAGACAATTAATCGGTCAAAAATCAGATAGTATGTATCAGTAAAAAAAGCTAAAAAGATGTCAATAAACTAATATTTTGTTGAACAAGAAGACAATCTTAAACTTTTTTTTATACAAAGTCGAAGTCCAACTAATTAATTTTTTTCACCTTAAAAAATTTATAAAATAATGATAATTTAAAACTAATTTCATTTAATATTATTAAGAAAAATAAAGCAGGTTTAAAGTTTGATTTCATAAAACAAATAACATGAAAGACTAATAACACATCTATTATGTATTAAGGACACACCTGAGCCTATACATATCATTTAATTTTTTTTACCTTTTTGCTTTTTTTTTTGTTTTTTTTTTTTGTTGTTTTCTTATTTAAATTAATTTTTTTTTAGTTTTTCCTCTCTTATTTATTTATATTATATTTTAATATAAATTATTAATTAATTTTTTTTAGTTTTTCCTTCTTTTTATTTATTTATTTATATTTTAATATAAATTATTAATAAATATATATTTCTTTTATATAATATTTATATTACATAAATTATTAATAAACATTTCATCATATATATTGGGTTTTTTTATTTTACTTTTTTACTTTTATTTAAAAATAAATAAATACTTATTAATATAAACATTACTATTATTTTTCTAAATAATTATATAATYATAAAAATAAAACATAAAAAAATGAGATTTGATATATAAATAAGGCATAACATAATTTATATTACATTTTCACTTATTGTAAAATAACATTATCTGTAGTACAATTAACATGTAAAAGTTGTTGGTACTTATTTATTCAATCTAAATACAGGGTAGCCCATACAACAATACACGGATAGCAGAAGTGAAAAAAAAATGTGGAGTAATAATAGGGATCGGGTATATTTCTACCAAGTCTAGTTTCCATAAGCTCCAATTTATTTATTTGGATGCACATTGTCATCTTCTCCCCAATTCAACATTTTATAAGTTACACCGGTAGTGTATATATAAGGTGTGGATAATATATAAAGGATAATATATATGTAGAGTTTGTTTCAAATACAACTCATCGTATTTGTACAACCAATGCAACCCAATAAATTCAGATATTTATGGAAATGATGAGAGTTCATTTATGGAAACAAATACTTTATAATAGGAAACAATCAAAACTTCTATGAAATCACATATTAATCAAATAAAATGGACGGTTGAGATTAGGTTGTATTGGTTGCACAAATGTCAAAGGTTGTATAATAACCAACCCCTATATATATATATATATATATATATAAGTGAGTTACATGTGAACCTAAAAAAAATGAAATATGATTGGTTGAGCTTGGTTAACAAAGTTAACACAAAAATCATGGTTAGTATTTGAACCAAACGCTCTTTCTCTCTCTCTCTCTCTCTCTCTCTCTATATATATATATATATATATTAATTTATAGATTAAAATGTTATGAAAAAAAGATATATAACCTCTATTTAGAAATATTATTTGTAATTTTATTAATGGATATTAGATTATAAAGAATGGTTGCTACACACTTATTATTCCAAAATAAAGAAAAGTTTGTAGAAAACTTTGATTTAATTTTTTGACGTAAAAATATATTTTTTTTTCGTTTTAAAATAAATGTCCATGATAGATAGTACATATTCTTAAGAAATGTACAATTATTACATTTTATAAATAATTAAATGACATTTTTATCTTTAATAATA